TGCTAGGACACAGTCCCTGGCTCATTAGTGATTGAGTGCTAGGACACAGTCCCTGGCTCATTAGTGATTGAGTGCTAGGACGCAGTCCCTGGCTCGTTAGTGATTGAGTGCTAGAACACAGTCTCTGGCTGTTTAGTGATTGAGTGCTAGGGCGCATTACCTGGCTGTTTAGTGATTGAGTGCTAAGGCTCAGTCCCTGGCTCATTAGTGATTGAGTGTTAGGGCGCAGTCCCTGGCTCATTAGTGATTGAGTGCTAGGGTGCAGTCCCTTGCTCATTAGTGATTGAGTGCTAGGGCTCAGTCCCTGGCTGTTTAATGATTGAGTGCTAGGGTGCAGTCCCTGGCTGTTTAGTGATTGGGTGCTAGGGTGCAGTCCCTGGCTCGTTAGCAATTGAGTGCTAGGGTGCACAGTCCCTGTCTAGTTGGTCCTCAAGGCTCCATGAAGAGCCGCTCCTGAGCCCCAGCTTCTGCACACATGATTGGCAGTGTCTAGATAGATGGAGTCAGGGCATTCCAAATGCAGGCAGGGCACCGAGCCTCCTGTGTGGGTCTGGGCAGATTTGAGTGGGAAAGTTGTCCCTCCAGCCATCTGGAGCCAGGCACTAGTGGCTCACACCTGTAATTCAACCTACTCAAAAGGCTGAGATCTGAGGATCTGGGTTCAAAGCCAGCCCAGGCAGGAAAGTCCATGAGACTCTCATCTCGCACTTTACCACCAAAAAGCCAGAAGTGACGCTGTGGAAAAAATTTTTCAAAGCTCAGAAAGAGCACCTAAGCCCTGTGTTCAAAGCCCAGGACTGGTACACACACACACACACCATTCTTGCTCAGAATATCTGAGAGCCTCTGACCTTGCCTTCACTCATCCAGCCAACGTACTTGAAAGCCAGGAGCTCCACTCCTCTCAGACTCGCCTGCCCTGAGCTCTGCTTAGGAGAAGACTGGCACCCTGTCATTTACCACGTGCAATTTCAGCTCTAACACCACTTCTGGTTTCAGGGCTTCCGCAACAGATTCCACTGCAAACAGGCATCTCGGCTGAGTGCCTCTGGTTGGAGCGCTGGTCCCTTCCGAGTGGGCTCAGCACGTGGCCACGGGCCACGGAATAGCCCCATGTGGGGATGGGAGCATGAGCTGGCACCAGACTCAGCCATGCAGGCACTCAGACGAGTCTGATGAGTCTCTAACAATGGTTGTAATGTCATGACACCTTGGGTGAGCCTGGCTGGGAGCCTCTGTGGGGCCTGGGGGTGGGGGGCCTGTCAGGACTGGGTGTCTACCATGGCCTCGAGGGGAAGTAGGCTCCTCTGCTGCTCTGCCCCATCCCCAGAAGAGCTGACACCCAGGCCTGGTGTCCCGTGTCCATGGTGTGGCAGGCCAGGCCTCTGGGTGTGTGGTGCTTGACATCTGGATGAAGGTGGGCATCTCAGACCTTCAGCTAGGAGAGCTGAGGTGAGGAGCCCTGGGGAAGCACACAGGGGAGGTGCGGGAGACCTGTGGATTTCAGAAGCCACACATTGCTTCTCCCCGCTGCATCCAGAAGGTCCCCATGTGGCTATGACTGTGAGTATGACTGTGACAGCTGTGAGTATGACTGTGACTGTGACAGCTGTGACTGTGATTATGACTGACTGTGACTGTGACAGCTGTGACTGTGACTATGACTGTAACGGTGGCTATGACTGTGACTATGACTGTGACTGTGATTATGACTGTGACTGGCTATGGCTGTGACTGTGACAGCTGTGACTGATTATGACTGACTGTGACTGTGACAGCTGTGACTGTGATTATGACTGTGACTATGACTAACTGTGGCTATGACTGTGACTATGACTGACTGACAGCTGTGACTGTGACTGTAACTGTGGCTATGACTGTAACTGTGACAACTGTGACTGATTATGACTGTGACTGACTGTAACTGTGGCTATGACTGTGACTGTTGTAGCTGTGATTGTGATTGTGTGTGACTGTGACTGTGATTATGACTGACTATGACTAACTGGCTATGACTGTGACTGTGACTGTGACTGTGACAGCTGTGACTGTGACTATTATGACTGTAGCTGTGGCTATGACTGTGACTGTTGTAACTGTGACTGTGATTATGACTGTGGCTGTGACTGTGACAGCTGTGACTATGACTGTGACAGCTGATTGACTGTGATTATGACTGTGACTATGACTGTAACTGTGGCTATGACCGTGACTGTGATTATGACTGTGACTGACTGTAACTGTTGCTATGACTGTGACTGTGATTTTGACTGACTATGACTGTAACTGTGACTGTGATTATGACTGTGACTATGACTGTAACTGTGGCTGTGACTGCGACTATGACTGACTATGACTGTGACTGCTGTGACTGACAGCTGTGACTGTAATTATGACTGTGACTATGACTGTAACTGTAGCTGTGACTGTGACAGCTGTGACTGTAACTGATTATAACTGTGACTATGACTGTAACTGTGGCTATGGCTGTGACTGTGACTGCTGTGACTGTGATTGTGACTGTGACAGCTGTGACTGTGATTATGACTGTGACTATGACTATAACTGTGGCTGTGACTATGACTGACTGTGGCTATGACTGTGACTGTGACAGCTGTGACTGTGATTATGACTGTGACTATGACTGTAACTATGACTGTGACAGCTGTGACTGTGA